TGATTACATTTTGTATGATGGATTATGTAGAAAAAGTAGAATTGGGCTGAAAGATCTATCGCTTTATCACCTATTCAGGTTGTAAATCGTGTTTTTAAAAAGTAACTAAGTAACTAAGTAATTAATTACTTTGGAAAATAAGTAATCAGTAAAGTAACAGGATTACTTTTTTGGGGCAGTAATCAGTAATTAGTTACTGATTACTTTTTTCAAGTAACTTGACCAACACAGGTGACCAACACTTACACATGTGCTTAACAATCATTAATAATCTTCGACTGCTTTTTCATTGCACAAAGATCCTTCACTCAACATGATGTGAAATGTTCAGTGCTTCTGTTTCACAGTAGAATATTTAGATTATTTCAACATGAAGGAAATAAAGACATAAAAAGAGCTTTGTTCATCAGCTGACTATGAACTAACAATCTTACAACATCTTATTTTCAATTTCACATTTTTTAAAACTCTGGTGTAATGCATAATCTCAGTCTTTCAGGTTTTTTCTTTACATCAGGCTTTTCATGCTGACAGTTTCTGTTTAATTGTTTTTACATCTTTCAGTTTCAGCTCTTTTTACTGTTTCTTTGTGTTGTCCACTAAGGTTAGAGCGGCACAATAAATAAATCACACAGACACAGAGATTACTATTTGTGTTTGCGTGCCTCCGACGGCCAGCCAGGTTGTAGATTATATTTATTCCCAAACAGGAATGACCTTTAGTCGTGTATAGATGTAAGCATCATCATCTCATTAAATTATCCTTTTGAATATTTATTGAGTTTAAACGCTCCAAAGAGCATTCTTTCACCACCAAAATTTATTCACCTCATCTCGATATAATATTAAAAATATACTAAAATATTATACTTTGTGAAAATAAAGGAAAATAGGTAGTTATTTACAAATGCATTATTTAACCCGTCCTGCAGCACAAGGCTGTACAATGTTTTCATTTTTTTGAAGAAACTCAGATACGTTATATGTTTCTAAAATATTATTTTGTTTTAACTTAATGATAAAAACATTACAGTTGACAGCTCAATGTTTATTTCATTTCATTTATTTCACTTTTATTTTAAAGAGACTCATTTCAGGCATCTTTAGCCATTTTTGCAGGATCTTCTCCAGGTCCTCCAAGGACATCTCCTTCACATCATAGCCATCTTGTGTGTTTGTTTTTTTTTCAAAATGTCATCTTTACTGTTGGGATCATTTCTTCCCACTGCAGCATAAGTAGGAAAGTAATTCTGGTCAGGTCCAGCCGTGAACGTTGGGCAGCAGTAAGCAGTCCAAAAGTACTCAGGAACAGTCACCCTGTTATTGATATTGGGTTAATCTTTCTCATAAGGCATGACTCCAGTGATAACATACATTTTTGGCATGCAGACATTAAACCTTTCTAACATCTTCTCGTCCTGTAGACTCCAGGGGCCGTTATTGAACTTTTCCATTTGAGGAACAATATTTGTCAGGGTGAAGGTAGCCTCTTTGTCTTCTTCTGTCTGTTGGTGACCACTGGGGGCGAGGTGGCCTCTGGTATAACCAGAGTGTTTATAGTCTTCATTGACTGCCTGGCTGTTCTTCACATTTTGGTCAGGATGTTTTTGGTACTCCATTCCTGTGTTGACTTTGTCTGATACCAGCTGAATGACAACAAAGACAGACTTTTTATTTCTTTAGAAGCTACAAAGAGTATTTATCATTCTTCATACTGTGTGTGCAAATTGTGTTTCAGTGTGAGTTTGTGGGAATGTGTAACACTGAGAGCGTACTGTCATACTGCAGTCATGTCATTTTAAAATGTGAGAGAGCAAATAAAATCCTACAGACTTTTTTAACCATCGTTTTATTAAAGATCATCTAATTTTGTGTATGTTTTCTTCTTTATCCTGTCCTGTTATTTATCCAGTTGTTGTTGTGTTATTTAAGTTATTACATTATATGTGGTATAGTATGACAATATCTAAGGCAGGAGGAAAATAGCTGCTTTAAATGTGTTGCATATTCTTACAGGTGATGGAGAACAATGTGGCAGTAAAATGCAGAGAATACACACTTCAACAAACAGTTAAAATCCAAACAGAGCGACTCTTTCACACTGTAACTATTGTTCTTCATCCTCTCTAAGAAAACCATTTTTAAAATACACCGTATCAGACAATGTTCTTAAAAGAGAGCAGTTCAAATACATGACTGTCTTTGAACATCACACAGTAATATTTTACACAGCTTACCCGTGGTTCAATCATCCAGTTTGTATTTTTGGGCCTAGGTCCATCTCCAGGACTGAGTATATACGCAGAATGGTACAATGGTATACGACGGTTTCTGTCATACAGGGTGGCAAAGTGGTATTGATTTTCATAGTGCTGACATAATGCCTGGTAGTCTCCACTGATGCCCTGTGGTATAGTTTCTGCGTAGAAAAATTCAATGCATGGTTTAAAGTCAGTAGTGATCTCTCCATAGAAGACAACACTTTTTAAGTTAAACAGTGATAAAAAAAATAAATAAATGAATCAATTATCCACATCCTTCCTTTGAGACAGCTCTCACAGCAAAGTAGAAGGTAGACTGAACCTTTCTTCTGAAAGTGAGGGTTGGAGTTAAATACTGTCAGCCTCTGGGTGGTGGCAGTGATGGTGGCTGGTACTAATGCAGATAGATACCAAACACACAGTCTATTGTTTAACAAAGGACAGTGTAAGCATTGTAACATAATGTTTTACTTACAACCTTAAAAAAATATGCAAACCATGTTAACTGTATGCCCAGAGAGCCAAAGTGAGTGAATGAGTGTGTATGGGGCCCCATACTCAGCTAAAAACAAACGGAGACAGAGCCTTCTGTTCAGTGGCCTCCAGACTCTGGAACTTTTCTCTCTTCCTTTCGATTTGAGACTCTGTGATCTCTTTAAAAAAACGAGTTAAAAACATCCATCCATCCATCCATCCATCCATCGTCATCCGCTTTGTCCGGGGTCGGGTCGCGGGGGCAGCAGCCTAAGCAAAGAGGCCCAGACCTCCCTCTCCCCAGCCACCTCCTCCAGCTTGTCCGGGGGAATACCAAGGCGTTCCAGGCCAGCCGAGAGATATAATCTCTCCAGCGTGTCCTGGGTCTGCCCCGGGGCCTCCTCCCGGTGGGACATGCCTGGAACACCTCACCCAGGAGGCGCCCAGGGGGCATCCTTGTCAGATGCCCGAACCACCTCAGCTGGCTCCTTTCGATGTGGAGCAGCAGCTGCTCTACTCTGAGCCCCTCCCTCCTGTGAGTTAAAAACAAATGTTTTAAATCTGCTTTCTATTAATTTTGCTTGGTTTTTATCCATTGTTAGGTCTTGTGAAGCACTTTGTGAATATATCTTGAAAGTTGCTATATAAATAAAATTTTACTTACTTACTTAGTTAATATATACAGTCTACTATACAGTTTAAAGTGTCATATCAAGTAAAAAGCACCTAAAGAAGAAACTAATGGAAAAGACAACAATTTCTTAACCCTGGGATGTATTTTTATTTTTCTATAGTTAATTTTTCAATTTTTTAAGTTTTAATGAACGCCTTCTGTTTCTATACATAAGTTATTCAGTTCATTATTTTATAAAAAATTATTTTACAATAAATGGTTACTTGTTTACTGCTATAGTTTAGGACACTGACATAGTCTCTGGTATAGTGCGTACACTGTTCACTGTTATAGTCTGCTCAGAGCGCTACGCTTCCACTGCTGTATATGCTCATAGGACTCTGTAGATCTGTTACCACACACCAGCACATCTGTATATATTTAGCAAATCTGTATATTTGTTCATAGTACATCTGTATATCTGCCCATCTGTATAGCAATATAGAACATCTGTATGCTATACAGATCACCTGTATATCTGTACATATGTACAGTACATCTGTACATTTGCCTGTAGTTCATTTGTATATTTGGTCTCTCTGTACATAATCTGTTCACAACTATTGCCCCATTTATACTACTCTTATCTGTATATATCAGTATATCCATACATTTGCCCGTAGTACATCTGTATATTTGCTTAACTAAACTGTATAATTGCTCTTTTTGCACTTCTGATTAGATGCAAACTATATTTCGTTACACTGTATTTATACATGTGTAATGACAATAAAGTTGAATCCTAATCCTAAAGATACCACACATAAACAAATTCAACTTATGTGTTGTTTATTGATCTTTAAGGTGGTTAAAATCCTCCTCTTTCACATACTTCTGCCAGTAAAAGCTTGTTCCACCATTAAATATCTCTGATTACACGGATGACACTGAACTCTAATAATGAGGTTTAATATGATTTTTTTTAATCTAAAACCTGTTTGCTTTTTTTACTTGAGCAAAAGAAATTTGTTTTCATCTGTGTCAGTCTTATAACAAAGTCATGGAGTTGGCATCAACAGAAAATAAAATCACCATGAGAAAAGAACACCTTTAAAGTTCATCCAGTAAACAAAAAGGACTGATCATTCTACTGAGTGTAGTCAGCTGCTTTGCCTACATGACAGATAAACGTAGACAAAGAAGCCAGTTGAAAAATGACACTTCGGGTAGATATGTGAATGGAAAAACTGAAAACTTCTTATTTACTTTTGACCACATTTGCCTGTGAACTCACAGTAGACACAGTATCTACTCAGTAAGAAAATGAACTGATTAAATGCTGCTCATGCATGGCTGGAGGCTGAGGTCAGTTTAAAGTGATGTCACTCCAATCCATTCTTTTTTTGCAGCTATGAATAACCTTTATCAGATTTGATGGTTTTGTTACAGACTTTTCAAAAAAGTCTTTTGATTTTCTTCCACAAATGTGGGGATTAAATTGTGTTAAAATGTACAAAACAGTGATGTCATGTTTTGTGACGAGGACCCAGGCACAGAGAGACTTGATGAATTTAAGAATCTTATGATTTAATAAAGAAATTTGCAGACTTGCACAGAGATGGTAAAATTATGATGACTGTTAACAGAGACGAAGACAACAGACGATGAGGACATTGAGTAGCAGGGGTTTAAATGCACCAAGGAGGCAGTCAGAGAGAACTGGGGACAACTGGAGACATTTAAGGATGCAGGGACTGACAGAGACAGGGAAGAAGTCTCATTGTGACGAGTAAAGTTTATCTTGCCTGGCTGGGGAGCTCTCCGAGTGCTCAGCACCCCCAGACCTCTGATCCTAGAATCGCCCCTGTTTTTAAGTATTTATTAAGTTATGTTTATTGTATGTATTTGTGTTTGTTTTTTTCTTTCTAATTGCTCGTTTCTACACTAAGTACTTGGCTGAGGCTCCTTTAACATGAGTTACTATATGATCGTGGTGTGGCATGGAGGCAGTCACCTTGTGGTACTGCTGAGGTGTTTTTGAAGTCAAGTTTTGATAGCAGCCTTTAGCTCATCTGTATTTTTGGGTTGGCTGTTTCTCATCCCTCTGGTCAGCAGACCCTCTAGTATTAGCTTTAGCACTGTGAGGAGGTGCTAGCATGGTTAAAAAAAGAAATGTGAGTCTCCATAAAGCTTGTCATGAGAAATAAAGTAATCTAAAATCTCCTGGTAGGTGATTGCATTGACTTTGGACTTGATAAAACACAGTGGACCAACCACCACCGCAACTCATGACATGACACCCCAAATCATCCAAGACTGGGAACTTGTGCCTCTCCACTCTTCTTCTACACTCTTCCAAATAAAATGCAAAGTTGACATCCCTCTGAAAAGAGAACTTTGAACCACCAAGTAACAGTTGAAATATTTTTCTACAGAGTCAGTTGCTACAGACCTTCAAACTTCATGTGGCCTTCAGATTATCTTTAGAACAGTGAGTTGAGAGCTTCATGGAATAAATTTCCATGGCTGAGCAGCTGCATCCAAGTCTTACATCACCAAGCATAATGCAGCGAATCAGATGCAGTGGTGCACCCAACTTTGTAGGAACAGTTTTAGGATGGCCCCTTCATGTTCCAACGTGACTGTGCACCAGAGCACAAAGCAACGTTGATAAAGACGTGGGTGAGGAAGTGGGGAAGAACTTCACTGGTCCTGCCCCAAAGCTTTTGGATGAATTCGAGCAAAGACTCCAAGCCCTGCCTTTATGTCCAATATCTGTGTCTAACCTTATAAATGCACTTTTAGAAAAATGGTCAAAAAGTCCTATCAACACTTCTAAACACTTCTAACCTTGTGCAAAGCGTTCACAGAAGGGTTAAAGCTGTTATAGCTGCAAGGTGTGGGATGACGTCATATTAATTCCTTGGATTAAGAATGGGATTGCAATAATAAACTCAATATCTGCTTTGGGGGTTGATCTTCATTTATTGAATGAAATAAATTATTAAATGAAAGTTAAATCATGTAATTTGAAATGGAATGATGATCATATTACATTTTTGTCCAAGAAGCACAAGAACCAAAAAAGCGTATGTTGGAAATTCTTATTTTATATTTGATTCAGTTTGCCAAACCTGTGTTGCTGCAGTGAAACCAGCAAAAAAGAATCAATGAAGCTGTTAACAGGTTGGAGCATGCTAACATTCTCAGATTTAATTCTCCAGACAGCTCATTTGTTCATGGTGTAATTTAGACTGCAATCAAAGTGTACCTAGAGCATTCTGATTATGATAAAAAACAATGATGAGTGCAGACCCTCATAATCAGAATGCTGTAGGTTCCAGAAAAAAGAGAACCATTGCACACAGGTGAAAACATTGAGATGCTCTTTAAAAAAAAAAGAAAAAAGCTGGTTGTTGCTTCACACAGTTACAAGGAAGAGTATATGTTTATCTGCACAGGAATGAAGACGGAACTTTAAGTACCAAGCTGACATTTGGTTTAAAAGTGAAAGGTAAAAAGCCATTGTCATGGGTCCATGTCTTTAGGACATCCCAGTAAGATTACATTTTGTTGTCAAAGGAGCTTGCAAAGAAAATCGTCTGGACTTCTTTAAGTTGCTTGAAGACGTTTCACCTCTCATCCGAGAAGCTTCTTCAGTTCTAAGGTCAAATGGTGGAGAGTCCCAGATTTAAACCTAGTGGGAGTATCCCCCCACAGAGGGACAAAAGGACCCCTGATGATCCTCTAATCGCCTGAGCCAAGGTGTGAAAGCGGGTGTGGGTCCCAATCAGCCAGGGTTTCGGGTGAGTTCATTGTGAAACCTGGCCCCACCTTATCATGCGATTTCCTGAGATCAGATGGCCCAGGATGTGAGTGGGTGTTAAGGCGTCTGGGAAGGGATCTCAAAACTGGATTATAGATGGCAGAGAGTTGGTGTCGTAAACCCCCGCCTCTGTTCAAAGATGGTCGCTCACAGTGGACATAGATGGCTTCTTTCACTCCTCTTTCAAACCATCTGTCCTCTCTGTCCAAAATGTGAACATTGGCATCCTCGAAAGAGTGTCCTTTATCCTTAAGATGCAGATGGACTGCTGAGTCTTGTCCTGTGGAGGTGGCTCTTCTATGTTCTGCCATGCGCTTGTGAAGTGGCTGTTTGGTCTCTCCAATGTAGAGGTCTGAGCATTCCTCGCTGCACTGTACAGCATACACCACATTGTTAAGTCTGTGTTTTGGCGTTTTGTCTTTCGGGTGAACCAGTTTTTGTCTGAGTGTGTTGCTGGGTCTGAAATACACCGGGATGTCATGCTTGGAGAAAACTCTCCTGAGTTTTTCTGATACACCGGCTACATAGGGGATGACAATGTTGTTGCGTCTGTCCTTCTTATCCTCCCTCGCTGGTGTCTGATCTTCTTTTCTGTGCCTCTCTGCTGACTTTAAGAACGCCCATTTAGGATAGCCGCACGTTTTGAGTGCTTCCTTTACATGCGTGTGTTCCCTCTTTTTTCCTTCAGGAGGAACACAGCACAGCGCAGCGGGGGATGAAGAGGAGTTTACACCTGCATCACAAACAACATAAGGCTTCATCAGATTAACATGGCACACACAACACTTTGTCCTATGGTCTGGGGTACCTGTAACATAATCTGTGTTACTCAGTTTCTCTTGGACAGTATAGGGCCCACAGAACTTTGCCTGGAGAGAGGATCCAGGAACGGGTAGGAGAGTCAACACTTTGTCACCCACCTCAAATTTTCTCTGCACAGACTTTTTAATCAAATTTCCTTTTCATTTTCTCCTGAGACGCGGAAAGAGCCTTGCATGCAATTTCGCAGGCTTTATGCAGATGCTCCCTAAAACAATTTACGTAATCTAATACATTCTGCTCGGGGATAGCCGTGTCGGACAGTTATTTCTCTTTAAGCAGCCGCAGGGGACCACGCACTGTGTGTCCAAACACCAGCTCCGCGGGACTGAAACCCGTGGACTCCTACACACTCTCTCTCACCGCTAGAAGGAGAAGTGGCAGACCCTCATCCCACTCTCTTCCTGACTCGAGGCAGAACTTCCTCATCATGGCTTTTAATGTTTGGTGGAAACGCTCAAGTGCACCCTGTGATTTGGGATGATACGCACTGGATTTTTGATGCTTTATGCCGAGCGATTTTAAGAACTGAGTTTGACCCTTGGTCCGTTTGAACTGATTAAGGCAAACCGAAAGTGGAGAAAAAGTTTACTAATGCTCTGACGATGGCTTTGACTTTGATAGTGTGTAGCGGAATCGCCTCGGGGAAGCGTGTGGCGGCGCACATCAAAGTCAAGATGTAATGATGTCCTGACTTTGTTTTTGGAAGCGGACCTACACAATCAATGATTACGTGCTCAAATGGTTCGCCTAAAGCCGGGATTGGATGCAGTGGAGTGGGAGGAATAACCTGGTTGGGTTTTCCACAGACCTGGCAAATGTGGCATGAACGGCAGTACTTGGTTACATCAGACTTCAAACCTGGCCAGAAAAAGTGAGGCAGAATACGGTGGTAAGTTTTCCTAATTCCTAAATGTCCAGAGAAACTGTCATGTGCGAGGCTGAGTACTTGAGGTCGGATTTTACAACTACCTGTTGAAATACATTCCAGCCAAGATCACTAGATGAGGGAGGATGCCATTTACGCATTAACACATCATTTTCAATGTTGTAAACACGAGGATTCTGATCGCTGGAATTTGCGGCGAGTAAACATTTGGCCAGAGATGGATCATTCTGTTGCACATGGACAAAATCTGTTTTGTCTACGTCAAAAGACAGGTCAGGTGTAGCGGGTAGCATTCTATCAGACAAGCATTTTTCAGCTTTCTCAGGAACAGCTTCAGAACATAGAAAAGAGTCAGACAAGTCAACATCACCGTATTTGCGCTTGTGGGCGCGCGTGACAACGCAGGCAGGAAAAACAGAGGGCAGACTGTCAGCGGCAGGTTCAAAAACAAAAACAGAATCATTGACAGGGTTTTCAATTACCTCAGGGATTGGGAAAACTTTTCCGTTGGCTAGACTCTTAAAGACACAGAGCACAACAGAGGTACACAGCCAGCCCAGGGCCGTAACAGCGTGTGGGACAAAGGAGTTTTTAAGTCTGTTGGTTCTTGACTTTGGGAGAAGCAAACTGTCGCTGAATAGGCTCCTCTGATTATTTACGACTGTGTGCAGAGGATGCCCAGCATTGTCCATAATGTCCAGCAGTTTAGTGTCCTTTTCTCTGCCACTGTCGCCAGTGTCCAATGTCAGGTTTATATTGTGGATCGTCATTTATGCTTAGAAATATTTACTCATATATGCTCAGTTTTATAATCGATTGTATAATGATAGGATGTCTGATCCTTAGCAGTCTGCAAAGACTCTGTGTGCCTCCCAGAGCACTCTGGCATACACACACATCCTGGGGTCATGAGAGAGGTCATAGTCATACCTTCTGAAGGAAACGGCTTCCAGGGCCTAATCCGTGGATC